AACACGCGATAAATCGTAACTATTCCTCAGATCCACCATTCATTAAGCCACTTCCCTTTGACTATTATCAGAACAGATTTCCGGGCCATACCTTGATATTATCTCTCTAACAAGCTGCAATCAATTCTGTTCGTATTCATTAATGACTCTAACGATCACCTCGAACCCAACACACCACTCTGGTGATATGATACCTCAACACAGGCCTAAGCCACAACTTGCATAATACGTGTACCCACAAGAAACGACCTGAATATACTCAAATCATGAAAATAACTCGAACAAAAGAGTTGTACTTCAAGCTCATCAGTATCATCACAACACAAGGCTGAGACCCCGTATCACCTCATAGAAATAGAACACCTGAATCTACCCCGAAAGGTCATAACTCAACGCAGCCTCGCTACAATGCGCAATCCTAACCAAACACTGTTACACATGAAGCAACTCAAGTCACTATGCCCAAAATCGACAGCCACGCACAATTTGATGTCTGGAGCCAAAACAATTCATTACATTCACGGTGAAACAAATAACATACGACACACAACCCGATAGGTCATAACCAACATTCCATTTACCGAGCAACATCCAGTTACTCTTCCCGCTCGACTTTCACTATGAATTCCCCAATAGAACCGCACCACATGCGCCCATAACCAACAAATCATAATGCCTCACAACACCGAAAAGCAACTCATATCTCTCCTCAGATCACTAACAAGCTCAATAACGATCGAATCAACCTATCCCTCAACAGCACACATCGGGGCCAACCAAGCCAACTCAAGCTAGACACGTATCCACAACAGCTTACCAACGAACTTATTACCAAGAAAGCCTGAAGCTGCTCCTTCCACTACTATAATTCCTGCCGGAGCCGTACGATACGGTGCCTGGCACCAAATCCATACCGAAATCCACAACCTCGCCCGGCGACATGCCCGGCCACAAGAAACGCATCCGAAAAGTCCCTCAACACCGGAACTGAACCAATGGTAGAAACCTCTGCACTGACAACCATCACGAATGCCCCATTAAGAAAAGCAATCCTTCTCAGCAGTCCGCTGCTTCTTTTGAATTATATACCATTCTGCAAGAACATAATCCAATGCACGTTGCTGCCCAACCCGTGGCATTTCCGGCTTAGCCCGTAGCACAATAGTCTAGAATAATCCAACACTGAGACAACCAGCCTACAATCCAATATCATATCCAAAGTTTGGCATACCAAGCAAAGAAAGATCCACTCGGACCTCTAATTCCCAATAACCGCTAGACGGTGCCGATACACACGATTTGCAACAACTGCATAGCCTGAACACGAGAACTCCTAGTCTCCAACTCCATATAGCACACAAATCACTATGCCTGATCCCAAATTGCGCCGTACGAATACATATCACACCTCAAGTACCCAATCATCCCACGAAAGGTATTCTAAAGTTTCCCTGTGCCATCAACAAACTCAAATATCAACAGTCGATCCAACAAGAAAATGCCGCAATACCACCGAAGTATTATCAGTTTACATCACATTGCCCTTTTTCTGGAACATATACCCCCGTCGAATCACTATGGTTGGCAATACCATTTTCCTTAATCATTTGAAGATCGATTCTTTAATCACCTGCAGCTGCCCGTGCTGCTTAAGAATTTAATGACTTTCCATTATGAACAGAACCGTAACCTTACACACACAAATCCCAATCCTCCACCACATATAGCATATACCATACCACACTAGTATAACATGAGAACTCCATCTCCCTTCCTAACCACAAACATCTACGTACTCCACTAGTCCAGAACTCTCCATCAATCCCATCAAGAAGAGAAATCATTACACATTCCATGATTCGCATGCCCATAGGCAATTTATACGTCTCTAAACCACGGTAAAACTTATCAAGAACTCTCCCCCAATTCCATTGCACAAGCTAAACTGCCAGGGCTGAATCCTTCTACCCGAACCAAGCTAAGCAAGCTGTCAGAACTCAAGAGCCTTGCTGCACAATACCGGTAAAAGCTCATTACCTCGAACACATACGAAGAATTAATCATATCTTACCATACCGATTTGGTCTATATCAAGCTATTCCATCTATCTAATTTCCCCTTTTTATTCATCATCCACTTGATATTTCTTCCTCGTTGTAGCATCACAATGCCTCAATCCAAGCTTACCACACGAGACTCGAACATAAGACCACACTGTCTAAGACCCATAGGCCACTGAATACTCTCTCAATTGTTTCCCAGAAATACCACATTCCAGAATACTTCACTCTGAGAACTTTCTGCGAATCTAAATTCGCTTCCTTTACTTTCCAGTTATCGACACATAGGATCCCATGATCAACATTAAAATACCACAAGTCTTGACATTTTATATTGAAAACACTGTCTTTAGTCACATACACCACCTTAAAACACCTGAGCGCTACATGTAGATACTTGAACACATTAAAACCATTCTCGAGAGTCATTCTCTCTTATTCATCTGCAAATTACCTGGTTTAACGAACAGAACCACTCGTGCTTTATTGACACTCCGATACCGTAAAATGAGACCTTCATCCCAATACAACCAAGCAACTTCCTGCTCTATGCACCGAGCATTCTTTACCAACAACAACTCTAGACATTCCGAAATTCTCATACCCTATGGAACATAATATAACCTTTGTCGAAATTTTGCTTCACTCGCCCATCCTCGGCTCAATTTCTGCAACTAGAACCGATTCGCCAGCATACCTCGAGACGTAACCAACATAGCACATAACAGTGCAATCAGCTAATCAACAGCAACCTCCCCAACTTGGCTCGAAGCCATATATCAAGACACATTTAACAACTCATAACACTTTTACTCTAATGATGCCACAATGTCATAGTGAGATTAAACTCAAATCATGTACAAGTTTGTGAAAACACGGATCTTCTAGTAGTGTAATCCTCTACAGCTTTCGCATTTATCGCCACATCGGTTGAGTCCACTCTCTTGAGCGACCCGAATTTTTAAATTTCAACACGTACCCTTCAATTACACATGAGATCTTCTAACATACACGTAAGGACCATACCACTTAAGAACACTCCGCAGGAGATGACCCTGCTTCGCCTCAATTTAGTACTTCGGCATACCTTTCACCATCATATACGTTACTCAGTCATTAGTCTTCCTGAGTCTGAACTCATTCCGCCGCATGAAATGTACTTCACTTCCCAAATAGGAGACACGAAAATATTCTTCACGCGCCCATAATTCGGGCTACACATCAATCCACAATAGGAGTCGAATCACTTAGCAGTTCATCTATTATCCTGCAGACTTCTTCGTCACTACCAAGTCATATAATTACATCTCGCAGTACTAACATACTCATCACATGAATACCAAACCGCCATTCCGGCTAATAGGGGCAATACTGAACATATAAGTTCAAAACACTTGCTCACACAATCAGCACCTCGGTGCTCAAGCAATAGGCAAGGATCCGGCCTCAAGTCCTCCAGACTGGCCCAACATACTCACGAAGATTACATCT